CCTACACGAGTCCTTGCTGCTCCTCATAACACACAAAAGTAGCAGAAGAAATCATGGGAAATCCTTTTAATATTATGCAAAATTATGTTGATTAAATCAATTTGCACAGTGTCTACAGTTCGCTGTTCTTGGCTCAGAATTTAAATTGCCTGAGCAGAATTTTAATCCCGGGCTGAAGGGCACATAATTATTTAGCCATTTGTTTCAGACACACAGGAATAGAGATCAAAGGGATCTCTTTTGGACAATAATGTGCCTTCAGCACTGGCCGGCATCAGGGGACGGCATGGTCAGGCATCCACCCGTGGCCCCAGTGCTGACCAGAACTACCTCCACAGTCTCAGGACTGCCTTGGAGGGATACCTGCTCTGAGTGGGTTATAGTCACCCACACAACCTCAACAACTTGAGGAGCTGCCCGTGGTTGCCCGGCTTGGCGCTGCTGAAGAACAGGGCACCACACACCCCAGTGCCTGTTATACAGCCTCCCCCTGGCTGAAGGGGCAGAGCCCTTCGCCCACCTCTTGCTGCAGCACAGTCCTGTTTCTGAACTTCTCTCTTTGACACCTTCCTAAGGCATCTCCTGCTCCCACAGCCCTGGTAGCCACCTCCTGCTCCGCTCTCCTGGAGTAACTGCCCCGGGTCCTAACTCTCAAAGCCAGGTGTAGTGGCACCGCACGGTAGCACAAGCCCTAGGAGACCCATCTGCCCTGCTGCTTTCTGCTGCCTCCCACCCATCCCCTGTGTGACTTCATTGGGTGGCTGGCAGTGTTCCCTCTAAGCTGAGTTAGTGTGAGCTAGCTCACAGTTTTTTAGCCTCCAGCTCACACATTTTTGTAGTCGCTCGGGAAGGATGGCTCCAGAGCAAACTAATTGATGCAGTAGCCAAATCGCTTGCTCACAACTTTAATGCCAGTAGCTCACAAAGTAGAATTTTTGCTCACAAGACTCCAGAGCTTAGAGGGAACATTGGTGGCTGGCCCACTGAGCAGCACCCCCCCCCATTCAAGTGCATTAGTCCAGATATTGCAGAAAGAGGAGGGGCAGCCCTGTCTGGAGAGGAGCGGGGGACGAAACCTCGCTACAAGAGCATTCACAAGAACCCGGAGCCGACCTTCGGGTGACGTAAATGTCATGTCTGCTGCAGGATGTCAGCGACCGAATAGAAAAAGAATCCTTAGATGGCCCAATCGTCAAGGAGCTGGAGAAAGGGGGGAGAGCGGTGGTGAAGATGGACTGGAGGGACCACATCACTGTCCCTTTACAGACAGGTAAACTTTTATTTGTGTGAAAGCGCCCTGATCTCCTCAGCCCAGAAAGCTAGCCCGATCTCCTCATATCTCAGAAGCTGAGCAGGGTCGGCCGTGGTTCGGAAATTGGAAGGGCAACCTCCAAGGAATACCAGGGCCAGGACACAGAGGCAGGCATGGCAAACCAGCTCTGAATCGTCTCTTGCCTAAAAAACAAGTCTAGCTCACCACCCAGTGCCCTAAAAGGGCAGTGCCCTAAAAGGGCAGTTCGGGTTGCCAGACAATCTTAGGATCTCCTGGCTATACTACACACAATGCCATACAATAATTATCATTACTATTTGTGTTAAAGTAGCTGGACCAAATTGGATGATGATATGTAATAACTGTGCCTCTCACACATCTTTTAATGATGGTGGGGGAGGGGAGAACACAAAACAAACCCAACTGTTTTGGAATTTGGGTTTGATACATTCCAAAAAGGAAGAACCATTATTGCATCTATGGTTTGGTTTTAAAAAAAATGTAATGGTGCTCCTTTTCTCATTTCCTTTTTCAGATCTTCGAAAATTCCGATCCTATAAAGGGAATTCAGTGAGAGATCTCCTGCGGGCCATGAGAAATAAGGTACTTGTATTTGGAGAAGGAAACGCATGGAGTCATGTTTTGAATTGGGGGGAGGGGAATAGCAGTTATGGTGCCTGGCCTCTCGCCCCACCTTCTGCACGTGGCTTCACAGAAATGGTCTTTCATTATGCACCTGCTTCTAGGGACACACCTGGCCGTTTCATTTGTCCATCATTCGTTTAAACAGTTTCTGAGTTCAAAGTACGGGCTGCTATGGGAACAAAAGAGATCAAAGTAGGTGCTTCTATGGAAAGAAAAGAAGCCTGGTTTAAGGAGGGTTTCTTCTCATGGGCTATGCTGAAAACATGTGAATTCCTTGCACAAGTTTTATTTCTATCTTCATCTTTTTCTCCTTCCAGAAACACCACTATAGAGAACTGCCCCCAGAAGTGCAGGAAACCCTGGGTTCTGTCCCGGATGACTTTGTGTGTTACTTCACATTGCGTTTCCCTCACCTTCTTTTGCACACCTACCGTGCGATGCAGATCTGCTCCCAGGAAAGACTCTTCCAGCCTTATTATATGCAGGACTCTGAGCAGAGACTTCCCGGAGATGCTGTTTGACTGATGGGGAGGGAAGGAGGGAGGGACTCCGTGTTCTTCGCACACACGCAGGGCTGTGAAACGGGCCTGGCCTTCGCAGGGTGACCAGAGGGATCACCAGAGAGCGAAACATCCTCTTGAAGAAATCCAGACTTTTCTCCAGTGTGCCTTGTATCCCGCCAGCTCAGAGTCAGGAAGAGAACCCCTGGTGGGAATCTCGGGGGAGGGGGGGGAGATGTGGTAATTTCCGGAACGCTTTACACCACAGAAGAGGGGAGGGGTCAAGAAACTGCTCCTAAGAGGAATGGTGGAGTATAAAATCATGCCACTTGGCCCAGGCATGACTATGATACAGGAAATGCTTAACACTGTAGTCTCCTTTTATGCTGGTGTTCAGCCAACTTGACTGCACAGAGATGTAAAGAGAAGAAGACACATTGACTGGAACCCGTACCTTTGCCAAGCATCTCCTGGATCTCAGGAAGGAGCCTTAGACTGTAGCACACCATTTCTGTGTCCAGTAGCACACCACGACCACAATCTGTACTTGAAGCAATGTCTTTGACATGAGGGAAGGATTGATTGTGAAAGGGAATACTGTGGTTTAAGTGTACGTGAAGCAGCAACACAAATGCAGCGGTTAAGGGAAGGGTATAGACCTCCAAAGCCTAGTTTCCAAATAATTTTGTATACACCTAACGTTGGTTATGAAATCGCAAGCGAAAAATGTCTGTCCAAATCCTACTAGTAAGATTTCACACCATAATGCTTTAAAAACAAATCTGGTGTTTCTGGAATAAGGTTCGTCTTTTGTCGTAATACTGGACATCCCTTGTGTGTTTGAAAGAAATCTCTTCAGATACCAGCTCTGGGGTCTTTACAAGAATATGAATACTTGGTAAGATGGTATAGATGGGGAAAGGGATAAAAAGGGTACTGCTCCTTAAATTTTGTTCATAAGATGATTAACTTCATCAGCCAGAGGCACCAGCTCTTGGTAGGTGGAAATTGAGCTGGATATATATTGGTTTTTTAAAAATGTGACATTTAGCATTTTAATTGCCAGACCGAGGTTCTTTCTATCAAGCTGTAGAATCCGTTTTCCCATCCACATGGGATATTTTGGAAAGTGAAAGCATTTTGAGGGATGCAGTTTTCCTTTTCACTGTCTCTAAAACTGTGATGCACATGGAGTGTGCAGAAAGCCCCAAGAATCCCCAGCAATGCGCCACAATGTTCCAATGTGATCTTTGTATTAGCCTTTTACAAAAAATATTTATTTTACATATTTATATTTATTTAATTTTTAATATAAAGTGGTACCATATTGAAATGGTACTAGTATAAGCATGCCAAATCTTTTCTTGAAAAAATCCTGTCTGGTGCAGTAGCCTTTTTTTTAAAAAAAGGGTGGGCAAGGAAAAGGTACACTGCATCAACAACGTTGTGCATTTTCAATAATTCTGGGTAAAATGTTTTAATACAAGCTTTTAATCTGCGTGATTGTGCTCCTGTGTGTCTTAAATTGATAAATTATTAATGGTTATCTGTATAATTGGGCATTGATAGGATGTCTGTTTTTTGTTTTGTTGTTGCTCTGTCTTTTGTTCTCTTCTTTGGGGCCTTACATCACGGGGAAGTGGATTTTTCTACTTTTGTAATGCAACAGCTGATATTAAGGTAAGATATCAACATGTGGATATTCCAGGACTTTAAAGCTTGAAAATAATGGCAGCCTTACCTAACGATTCAAATAATGTTTCATATTTTTATAGCTCTACTGTACAGTACTTTTATAATTCTTCTAAATAAGAACTTCATAGAGATTTTAAAAAATAAAATTAAAAAGTAGATTTTGAAACACTTGAGTGATATCTTTTCATTTTAGATTGGTGGGCACAATCCCATTCAGTGTGACCGAAAGAATACCTTCTCCCACCCTCTTTGGCGTTCCCATGAGAACAGATCAGCCATTACCCTGACTGGGAGGACATGAGACCCCAGACTACCCAGACATGAGATCCCAGGAGCTAAGCAGAGTTTGCCCTGCTTTGTAGTCGGATGGGAGACCACCAAGGGAGTCCAGGGTTGTTGTGTAGAGGCAGAGAAGGACAAACCAACTCTGAACATCTCTTGCCTTGAAAACCCTACAAGGTCACCAGAAATTGGTTCGGTGACTTAAGACCACTTTGCAGCACTTTCCTCAGCTCTGCAGCAGCCTGTGAGAAAGAGCCTCGAGAGATCCTCTTCCAGATCAGCCAGGTTCCCATCCCAGCAGAAGGTCCAAAGAAGCACAGAGGTCACTGGAGACTGAGGTCACCAGGAAAAGTCTTGGGGGGGCCTCCACTCCTCCAGAAAGACTCGCCTTCTTGCATAACATCTGAAATTGAAAATTTAACTTTGGTAATATATTCATTTTTATTGCTGAGATTCTACCCAGACGTGGTAGTTTTAAGTTTAGTCCGTCTGTCCAGGTCTTTTTGTATTTTCATCCAAACTATCTTATAATTGTCTTTAAATAATGTGTCATTTTGTCTGTTTATTCCCAAATATTTAACTGGATTTAATGCTGTACCCCATCCTGTAATTTTCTTAATATTTTCCTATTTTGTTAAAAATGTTGGGATTGTTTTCATTTATTCCCCCATTAATGTTATAGCCTGAAAAGGACCCAAACTTTTCAATTTGTTCCATTACATACTGCAACAACAAATGAGGATTTGGAATTGTCAGAACCATATCATCAGCATCATTCTTTAGTTTAAATTCTTCTCCATCAGCTTTCAGTCCTTCAATTTTTGAGTCTTGTCTTTCTTGTCTTAGAAGCAAACACCTCCAATGCCAGGATAAACAGAAGTGGAGATAATGGGGAACCTTGACGTGTTGCTTTTTCTATTTGGAATCCATCTGTTAATACTCCATTCATTAAGATCTTTGCATATTGTTTTTTATAAATTCTCTGTATCCAATTCAGAAATCTAAAACTGCAATTGAAATGTTGTAATGGATTTTGTAGGAAAAGCCATGATAAATGGTCAAATGTTTTTTTGGCCTCTAAAAACATGCATGCCGCTTTCTCTGTCTTATTGTTCACTAATTCAGTTACATCGATTAGAAAACAAACATTGTCTTTTGGTACAAAATCAATCTGACTGGGATGAATTACTTTGGTTATTCATTTCCGTAACCTTTCTGCCATTATAGAAATAAAGATTTTATAGTTCACATTCAATAGTGAAATAGGCCTATAGGATTGTGGTAGCATTTGATCGTTGCCTTCTTTATATAAATGATATGTGAGACTCCTGCCATGATGGGGGGTAAAGTTTTCTCTTTACTTATACTATTCGTCACTTTTTGAAGCAGCAATATTAGTTTTTCTTCTAAACATTTATGAAAAATTGCTGTAAGACTATCAGGAACTGGTGCTTTGTCTTTTTTTCAGTCTCTATAAGCTTGTGAAATCTCTTGAATTGTAATGTTTTGATTCAAAATATCTCTGTTTTCAGTTGAAAACTTTTCATTGCATGTGTCTTTTATATACTCCTCTATTCCCTTTTCTGTTAATGAGTCTTTTAAAAAAAAACTTTAGAGAAGAGAGTAAATAGCTCTAGAATCTCTCCACATAAGTAACTCCATCCTTTTTTGGCATTCCTTTTTCTTATTTCAGTCTCCCTACATGGACAATACATCAGGTAACTTCCAGGTTTATTAGCATGTTCAAAGTGTTTCTGTTGTTGTTGTTTTATAAATATATTTATTGGATTTTTAGTATGCTAGACACACACCACATAAACACAAAAACAAACCCACACCTATACATAAAGTTCCACTGTTATCTACTACAACAACACCATTTAGTTCTTAAACATATACTTATATCCTTCTTTAACTACACACACTTTCCTACAACACCTAGTTATATTTCATTACATACTTATTAATCAAATTACATTTAACAATTCATCACGGCTATTATCCTTTGAATACAGATTTCCCAACTTCATATATTATAACTACACCATCTAATCTCAGTAAGCAGACCCTATTCTACATTATCAAGTTCCAGAACTATCCTACAGCTTCACCACATACTTTTCTACAACATCTGATTGCATTTTGACCAGACATTATTTACTATTATTTTAGATAATAAGTTTAATTACTTCACATATAATAATAACCAAACAATTTTAACTCAATAACCAGCCTCTATTTTTCATTGCCTCTCCTGCATCTATCTTTCCTAATTATCAAAATCTAGTTGTATCTAATGTTATACACTCACTTTCCCTAAAATACATTATATCAACCGAAATAAACATGTTCAATCCCTACCGTAAATTTTATTTTCTTCCCATAAAAATTATTTCATCCTTTTAAGCAATAACCATAAATATAAATTTATAAATAACTGAACACCCAGTGATTCTATTTATCTTGTCCAGACTTTCAGAAATTTTAAAACTATATTGTTCCTCTTAAACAAGGGCAAAAAGCTATTTTTCTAGTCATCTCTGGGATTCTCATTTATCAAAAATCAACTTATAACCAAAAGAAAAAAAAGAAATAATAAAAAGAGAGTAAGAAAAGAAAAAAGGGGGAGAAGAGAGAAAATCACCCCTAAGTGTATAAGGAGCAATATCACACTAAAGCAGGAACCATCACATCCTTTTTCCATATGAGCACAAATCGGAAGCAAAGACATTCCATCCTTTGTATATACTGATTTTTTATATGAATTTGTAACCTGTTTTTTAGCCTCAATGAGTCCACGTGTCTTCTTTCTTTATAGGTAAACAAAATTACTTCTATAATGTCCTCTCTGCGTCTAAGCCACACTGAATCCCATGTTTTGTTTTCAATCTCAAATTTCCAGACATGTCTTTTTGGTCTCTTTTCTTTCCCCTTTCTTCTTCCTCTAAGAACAGTCCTTTGCGCTTTCCTTTTTTTTTTAAACTTTGGGTATACATAAGTCCTTCTCTTTATTTTGTTTTCCACTTCTTTAACAACTGCAAGCTGAGTGACGAGAAGTGGCTCCTCTTGCTGACAGACCTGTTGTTCAGTCTCACTCTTTACATCCTGCAGCAATTCCTCCTCGTTTTCCACAATTGGTTGATATATTAGCACAAGCTATCTCAAATCCTTTTTGTATACTATCTTTCAACAATTTAAAAAATTGCTCCACAGTTAACTCTCCTACCTGCATGTTCTCATCCATCTCCTGTACCTTCGTTTCCTCTCTAGAAGCCATTTTAGTTGCCCAATTGATCTTCATTTAAATAACTCAAATTTTGTAACCAATTAGGATGTTGCATATAATTGTAAAACCTTCCTACAAAGTTTTTTTTAACCCCACAAGGCAAATAACAAAGTTCACAAAGATATTTTTCCCAGTCTTTCACTGACCTCTAATCTTCTCAATTCATGGGCTCAGCATTTCGGGATAAATTTATAGGTGGCCGTCTCTTCTGTTAATTTAGAAAATATTCGTATTCACGGACTCTTGGCATTGTATAATTCCAAAAAGAAACCTCTTCCTCTACATTGCTTCGTTGCTGTAGGTAATCCAAAATATAAATCAAAAGTTAAAAGAGACTACAGCTGCATGGAACATGGCGTCCATGCTCCACCCCGCAAGCTGCTCCTGCTTTGAGGCATGAATGGTCACCTCCCCCTCGCATTTCAAAGTATTTCTGTTTTGAAAACTTTGTTTCTTCTGCATTTCTTCAGTCTCAAGCAAATTTAATTGG